AGAAAAGTATACGCTGCTTTATTATTTGACTTGCTCCGGGTGATATACATGTTCAAGAAGCTGAGTGAATGCTCAATATAGAGACAACATGCTGCCGCTTAGCAAATTATATTCTTTTATGCTTTTTGCAATTCAATTTTGTGAGAGCGGCTATGTAATCTGTTTTTAGACAGGATTGATTATAGAGGCCCCAAAAATCCCACCGACTTATAATAAAAAACAACTTTTAAATGTTCAGTAGCCCGACTCTGAATTTTTTCGTTAAGTTCCATCAATAGGGGGATGAATTACCATTTTCGTTAAATTCCGCCTACATAAGAATGAAGTTCCCTTAACTGGCATTCGCAACCTGCGCAACAGGAGTTCACATTGATTGCATTTTATTCTATTGTAGCATATTAAAACAAGCATAATCTTAATTTATTTAATATTTTTTGATCACTTCCGCCATAAATACACATTAATTTAAGCTCACTAGCCAAGAATTAAATAATTCACCACAAAATAAGTTAAGCAGTTGGGCGGGGGGATGGATATGTAGAGGGGCCCTACAAATCAGTTTTGCTTTTTTTAATTGAAGAGTTTCGAGGATTTTTTGTCAACAGCTCATGTGCTGGGTGCTTTCTATATACCAGGTGTATTCCAGAATGACAAGTTGCAGTGGGCGGCGCGTTCGTCTGACTGACATTCCAATAAATGTACCGCCAGTTGTTATCAAACGTTCATGCCAACACCCGAGTTTAGATCGTGTCCTATCTTTCTCACCAGCATACAGCAGTAAATGCCCACAAAATGTATCATTAATGTTTACTGACTGAATGGAATGATTCAGTTGGCCCAATTGTCCCGCTCACACGTAGCTCGATGTTAAAGGGTTGGCTGCGCAAAAGCCTTCCCTGTTGTGTGGGTTCGACTGCCACCGAGACTGCGAATTCTTCACAACTGGATCCACTGAAATATTCAAATCTGCCAAACCCTCCTTATAAATGGCATGAGTTTTTCCTTTGTTGATGCACTTTCACCGACCGCTAACAGAACCCACTTACCACGCTCGGTCTCTGCCTTGGGCGTCATTTCTCGGGCCCTGACAGCAGCTATAGCAGCTATTAGTATAGGACGATAGTATGGCCGGCAAAGATCAGGGAGACTGGAATAGGCATTTCTGACTTCTTAGCCGTTTTCAGCCAGTCGTACCCAGTCCCAAGTGTGCACCACGCAAGGCTCGAACTCGCGACCTTGTGATCAAAGTCTCAACCCCTAACCATTGAATCATGTAGCCGTTGACTTCTTTATTTCTGACATCATGCTTCATAGATTTTTTAGGTGTATTTTATTTCTTATACACATTTATGTTACCGAAGATGCTATACTGTTGAACTAAAAGAAACAAAAGGCTTCAAGAGACTAGCGTTTATTGCTAAATCTGTTCAATGCTGTCGCTTTTCGTACACAGGGAGATATCTATCGAACAAAATCACGTCCGAAGTAACTGAGTTGTATATTTACTGCTAAACATAAAATCACCGACTCCAGGTAGACATCTAAATCTCTTCCCTTTTACACTTCTGCCTTTTAGATGGGCTGCGAACAGGTAAAGGAGATCAACCTTCTCGCCAAATTGCCCTCGGATGATTTTGTCTGGTTCTGTGCTCTGCACTACGAACTCTACCCTAATGGTCAGAGCTTCTATCAGCAATCCGTGACTGGCTGTGCTGTGCCCAAGGTGAGTCACTCGTGAGTCTGGGGGCGGTGGGGGTGACGGATTGACCTTGGCACTGTCAAGATGTAGTAGCCGCCAACTTACCATTTCTGCAAAGTTTGACCGAGA